TGTCTGCTTTGACGTATAGGAAGCCATTTAAGTTGAGACCTATAAGCAGGTATGCGGTCAAATTAACGAATGAAGAAGATGAAGCGGATGGCATTGTTGATAAGACAATCCAATCTGTTTAGAAGATCGGTTTTCAGATCGGAATAACAGACATCAGCATAACCGATGACCAATATGAGAGATGTTACAAGCAAATTTTTGTTTTGTTGGGGTGAAAATTTCTAAATCGATTTAAGAAGCCAAGTGAGTAAACATCTTGGCGACTTACTTCGGAAAATTGTGTGGTCCAGCTGAGACAGGAATCAATGTGATGGCCAAGATTTTTACATATAGGCCAAGCGGCAGTATCGCGTCTTCATACGTTATAGACCGGAGAGAACTTTGGTCAATTTTGGCTAATTGTTTAGAGCCTCCTACAATAATAGCCTGACATTTAGATGAATTCATTTTTATTCTAAAGTCAGCAGACCAAGCACTGATATGTTGCAATTCATGATTAACATAGAAATGACCATATCAACGTCCTCGGCCAAAGCTTGGGTATTTATTTATAGGTCATTAGCGTAGAAATGGAAAAAGTAACCATACGAGTGGGAAAGAAAGTTAATAAAAGATGAAAACAGCAAAGGAGAGATAATCCCACCCTGCGGTACACCAGAATTCAAACTTCCAGTTATAAAGGTTTTGTCCAATGCGAACTACTTGTTGACGGCCACAGAGGTAGGATGATTACCAATCTAGTGATTTTGATGAGAAGTTGAGGGATTTCAGGGTAGCGAGGAGAACATCGTGGTCAACTATGTTAAAAGCGTTAGAGAAGTCTATGAGTACCATAACTAACTATTTCTCCATGCCCATCCTGACGTCTTCAGTAACTTGAAGCAGAGCCGTAGTAGGACTGTCTCCAGGACGAAAACCAGACTGAACAGGAGTGAGAAGATTATTGAACAGAGGAAGAACAAAATCTTTACGCCAGACTAGAGGAAAATCACTATTTAGAAGGAGAAATTGATAATGTGTTCAATAGCTGGAAGAAAATAGTCTAAGATATATATATCATTTCTCTACTGACGTCATCCCTTCTAACAGTTTTAGACTTGATACATAAAATGTTTTTTCGAAGTCTAATGATGTAAAGGTAAACGAATCAGAAGAGAGAGATTGGGCTGTGGAAGAAATGTTTTTGACTGCACATTTTTTGTGTGTATGTGTGCTTTGTTTTTTGGGGTTGCTAATCAGCTCTTACTAGGTTTTGATTTGGGAATTACGGTTTACTTCATGCACTTACTTAAACTTACTAGTTTTTATAGTACATATTAATATATTGGGAATGGAAGCCTTAATTGAATACCGGGTTTTGCATATTTTGGGCACTTAATTATGTGAAAAAAAAAAGAATTTTGAAAAAAATGTTACCCTTACCTTGTTTTGACTTGGGACAGCCTCAAAAATTTTATGTTGTGAAATAATTTTAATACATGCAAAGTGCAAGTACCTTTATAGATTGTTTATAAATATAACAACTAAAATGTAAGTTAGGGCTGGCAAACTGACTGGTTATTTAGGTACTTCCATTTGCTACATATTTGTTTGATTTTATGTATATGTTTTAAATTGAATTTAATCACCAATAAAATGTAAGTACAAATACCATTTAAAGAATACAAAACCGGAGTTTTTAGTTATTTACGAAACTTATAATTAGAATTCTATGTTTTTTTATGTTATAGGGGGCATACGAGCAGACGGCTCACCTGATGTATTATCTTCTATTTACAATAATTATTTTGTCCCAAATTAAGCAGATCTATGGAAACTAAATAACGTAGGTATGACTAATAAACAAATATAATGCGATTCAACTAAGAATAGGATCGACTGGGCGCCATTTTGTGATGTCAAAGCTGTCAATTGAAACAAAATAGGTAGAGCGAGCAATAAAAGATTTTCTTCGATAAAACTTATTTACTAATATTAAGTGAGAAAAAACATCAGGTTTTTTTAAATAAAACTTATTTACTAAGATTAAGTGAGAAAAAACATCAGATTTTATTAATAAAATTTATTTACTAAGATTGAGAAAAAAAAACACCGATTTTTAATAACATTTATGACTGTGTGAGTAAAAATATTAATCGGAATCTAGCTCTTCAATTCCGCTCAGCTCTGCACAACTACCGGAGTTGTCATCGTCGTCATGTTTGTTTACAAATGTTTGTTTTTTTATTCTAGAATTAGATGAGTGCTAAAAAAGAATTCCAAGATATTTTGCAAACCGTACTTTTCAAGCGTCATTTGACAGATGAAGGTCATTGGCTTTCCTATTCTTATTTGAATCGCATTATACTTGCGTACTCACACAAATGCCCCAATGGGGATTTGAGCCCACGACTTTAGGTGTAAAAGACTTGAATGATTAGTCGATTCCTTACTGGTAGTCACTACGTTTACTTAGTGTATATATTACGTATTACCAAATTAGTAGGCAAGATACCTTTAAACCTTATACAAAGGAAATAATAGATTTTACCTATAAATCATAATTTGACAGTAAAATAAAAAGCATTAATAATTTTTAGATTCATTTTATTTTCAATAACATAAAAATGTTATGTTTTTTTTCAATTTTACACATTTCGAAACATAATATTTCAGTGGGTATCAATCAGATTGCTAAAATGTTCACATAACTTCAAAATTTAAACTACCATACAGTTTGGCTTTGCATTAACACGAGTCATGGGTATCAGATAACCTTATGGATTTAGAATTCTTCTTTCACTTATTTCCAAATGCTGCTTATCATTTGTACGAGCACAAAATCTACTAATCCACAGCTGTTCATTACAAATTTCAACAAAATATATTGTAATCATTTACTCGTATGGATGAATCATACAAATCGATTTTTGTGCTTTTAATCTGATATGCTAGACATTTTTTGTGATATTTTTGATTTTATTATAAACAAATTCGTTATTTTTAATTACCTTAAATAGGTAAATTTGTATAAAAGTACTATTTGGTCTCACAAAAATCGTTATGATGATCCTTCCAACAGCAATATTCACTACAATAAATAGAACTAGCTAACTGGAATTGAAGGTCCCTTAAAGTACATACTTTATGATAAAACTGTGATCAACTAAGTAGACATCAATGGCAAATTTAATGATAACAAGAAATGAATAACTATGCAACGCCTTCAGAACACACTTTTTGTCTGAATAATTGACCACGGCTTTTTTAATACTAATTTTATTGTTTTTCGTAATAGATTGACTAACTCTAAAGAGGCTTCCGTATTCATAGCATGAAGTTAAAGATGCGCAAATCACCAATTTTTACAAATTTTAGTGACAAAAGGATTGACAGTTTTACATACAACTCTAGACACTTTATTCAACTGTTATTTAAATCTTATTAACAGTAAACTTTTACAACATCTAAATGAATTATGGAGTAATGATACAATTTTTGGGAACTTAATTCCATTTAGTATTTTCGTGACTGCTGACTTTCTGGCTCTTACCTAAGTAGATACATAATAAATTTATAGTATAAATTATTATATATCCCGGAATTGTAACAATAGCGCATCGTCTCATGAGTAAAACTAAGTACTTAATACATTTGAAAATATGTGAAATAAGATAATTTGTCAATTCAATGCTCATCGCAATTTTTTTGTCCTTAATTTATTTGATTTTAAATTATTGGGTACCTACTTAGGTACTTATATTTTTAATCAATCACAAAATTCTGAATAACTAATAAACATTAATTTTCATTTTGCTACTTTTAATTAGCACAAGTATATGTAAGTTATGATTTACATTTGTATGTGTATTATTAGCGTAGAAATGAACATGCATGAAAATCTAGATGAGCAGAGATAGATGACAATTTGTAATAATAGCATACTTTTTCTCAGGACGAAGATGGCTTCAGAGTATGTACTAGTTCAATAATAAATTAAATGTACATCGTTTCAGACATAAGCGCATTAGGGAATCAATTTTCTTTAATTTAATTTATGTATTAACTGAACGTTTTAAAATTGATTGAAAATATTTAACATTTTGTGGTAACTGCTGTTGCACTTGACTGATCTTTCTTTATCTAGTTACCTTTGTAATAATATTTTATTGGTCTTTCGATACCAATTCATTTACATTTATGTTCTTACATATTCAGCCAAATTATTTGTGAACTTAAGGTGTAATATGAATATGATCATTAATTTATTATTGCATTAGCCAAATTCAAAGCAATTTCCATCAAAATCCAAGTAAATGTTAGTTTTAATTAAACGTTCATACTCTGAATGCAACATTTTGCCACGTAGATTGTAGTTTTTTGTATTATATACATGTAAAACCATGTGTAGATTTTAAAATTTTTAGTAATACTATACTAAACTGGCCGTCATATAAGTATCTGCCATGTTCTCTTAAATACAACTAGGTAATATAATATTCTTAATTAAATTCATATGTACAAATAATACAGTTTATTATTATTTATATAGAAATTAAAATATATTCTATCATTCTTCAATTCACATAACGCAAAATAATTTAACAGAGTTCATTTTTGCACTCACATTTACAATATAGTTTGTAACTAATTTGTTACCATTTAATTTGTTGATTTCAAACAACTCATTAGATTATATCACCCATTATGCGAGTAGCTCTATACTCACTAAACCTAGTTTATCTTATTTTAAAAAATGCAGAATATGCGAAAATGTCAAGGAATATGTTACAGTAATGGGCAGTTGAACATTATAGTTCGCTCGCATCCAATAGGAACTATAAGATTCATAATGCCTCTGAGAGACCTCCATCGTATCTATTCTATATGTACATTTACTAAACGTGATCTCTCTAGGTATCAACTAAGATCTAAACCAACTAGCACAAATAATATAAATCCTCTCTATTTATATCTGGCGATTTATTCACAAATTATCGACACAAAAATCCAAAAATTCGGAATAAGGAATTGAAACAATCATTAGCGAAATTTGTGTCTCAGTTTATGCTAGAGTTTAGAATATAAGGAGCTCAGTAGCGCCACCGTACGCGGCGGTGCGAGGAACTATACATGCACAACACCGCAGTGTCTATGGCCGGCGTGGCCCACGCCTCGCCTGAATACTTTACCTAAATACCTAATAAATGTTCTCCTACATCATTGCTTCAGCAATAGATGCATCGCGTGTCGCGTTAAACACTCCAGTTTACAGATGGGCAGCACTCGCGAACGGGTGGACGAGATTCTGATAAAGTTTTCTCTGCAATGTTCAACGCGCTCGCAAACGGGAGAAGGAACTAAAATCTAGTATCACAATGTCGGGCATCTCTGGCCTGAAAGCGAGTTTAACTAACACCTCACGAACACGGACTGAAGACATATAGCGTAACGAGTTTGTTTTTACTACTTTCTGTTGAAATGGGTAATCTTAGGACTTCTGTTTAGTCTTTGTTGATGGTATTAATTGACAATTTACCATTTTAGGGCGGCTGGTGTTCTCGTTACGTATAGAATTGTCTTTGGTGTTGTTCATTCGAAGAGGGCTAGGAGATCGTCGGAGGAAGGCGCGCGTGGTGGATGAGAACCCGCTGAGGATGACGACGAGGGCGGCGTAGCAAGTAGCTCACCCAACGCCGGCGCGTCCAGGTACGAGAGTAACTCCATCGGATCGACACTAGTTTCTGGCAGCAGCTGTAGGTGATGCAATGAAATAGTTAGCTAAAATTCTAACTAAGAACAAAGTTTTATCGGTGCAGAAGTACATTTTATAAAAATTTGGATGTTTAAAGAACATACAAATAGATCATGCATCAGTGTGAACTCACATTGAGATTGTCGGTGCCCTCGCCATCGATTACAGCCGCTGGATCGAAGTTGAGATCGGCGGGAATGTCAACGTCGGTGAGACTATGGTGGCCGACGGACGGCGGGCCTGGCGTGTGCGACGAGCCAGGCGTGTGAGCGCCGCCACCGCCCGGCGTGTGTGCCGAGCCAGGAGTATGCGGCGTGTGCGGTGTATGTGGCATCTAGAAATGAATCGTGATATGTAAATCATCATCATCATTAGCCTATTAATGTCCCCACTGCTGGGGCCTTCCCTATGGATGGAATAGGGAGATTGGGCCATGACCCACCACGCGGGCCCAGTGCGGATTGGTGGGTGCTAACGGCTGCAGATGCAGCCGGGCTTAACGTGCCTTCCGAAGCATGGAGGAGCTCGAAATAGTAAATTCAATCAATCCAATGACCGACCACTGCGAAAGTTGCTTAACTTCAACGATCGCAGCCGAACGCGCTAACCACCTGCGCTATCGAGCTCCTCTACCGTATATGTAAACAAGGACGTCTGATTGCCAAATGTGAAACACAGTTAAAGTGGATTTAAATAATTTAGCAAGGTTATATCTGCAAAGAAGCAGTGAACCTTTGGAAATAAAACAGTAAAAACCGATTGGACAACGAATGCTGGCAGGAACATAGATGTGAATTTACTAGCTGATTCAATGGTTAGTAGTGTGTAAAATGGTAGATCTTGAGGCGGTTCTTACCTGTTCATTGAGGCTTTTCTCCATCGCATTCAGGGGATCTAGTGAGTTAACACTGTCATTTAGATGGGACAGTGGTCCATTGCCGGCGAATTCGTTGCTGCCTGGCCCGTTGTTCATACCAAAATCATAGTTCGGGTTATTCGAACCAGCATTTCTGTTTTGGCTACTTTGGTTGTACGACGAGATCATAGAGCCGCTGGCGATTGTGTTCATGTCGGGAGGGAGGTATGGCGATAAAGCTTGATTCATATCCCAGTTGTTCATTGTTGGCATATTCATGGATCCAGGTGATACCGCTTTGCTTCTCTTGCCTAAGCTGTTGTCATTACTATCTTCCTCTTGCTATAAAGAAAAGAAAATCATTTTAGTAAGCTTTGTTAAAAGAGGAACATACTTTCGTTTACAAGATCAGTTTTACATTATCATGAAAATGTACTCTTACTTACCTTTATACCACCATTGGTAGGACTCTTAGCTGCTTTCCAATTAGCACCACTGTCGATTGTTACTTCATCGACATCAGTAGTGTTTAATGTGTTAAGTATCCCCCACATGTATTGGTCTACTTCCAGACCTTCAAGCTGCGCTGGTTTGCTGTAAAGAAGAGTGTGAGTTATTAATTGTGTGTTGCTTTGCAAATCTTTAGGCTTTATCAAATAATTAGGAGTAAGTTTTAGAATTATTGCATTATTCTATATAAACTAACAAAGAAGAAAATACTATTAACTTTGAAATCAAATCAGCCCCTAATAATTACTGTAAATGCCTCCATAAACTTGACATTTGTAAGTAATGAAAAAATTATAAGTATTAAAATATTCATAACATGAAAATTTCCAATGAACTTTACAAACTGCAAGTACAAAATTCTAATTATTTCACAAACTTCAAACAAGTTTGAACCTTTATCAAGTATCTTTCTAATGAAAAACTGAAAGGTATCGTGATACGAGTTGAACTAAAAAAACTACTCCTAAGAATACTGGTAATAGATATCTTATTAAAGTAATCTATAAAATCGCCATAGCACTTATAACCCTAAAAATTCTTGTGAATAAATTAACAGTTCTCTTACTTGCAAACTGGACATCTCCATGATCCTCTCTCGCAATTAAGTTGCAAATATGATTCTAAATCGAAGCACTGTATGTGTTTGCATTCGTGCCCTCGCGCAGGTAGCGTGATCTTCTTGAACGTGATGGGACATTTTAATGACACTTTTAAGGCGGTTTGTTCGACGCTGTCCCGGTCGTTTGCGGTATTAGACCCGCTGTTGTTAGTCGGTGCTTGATTAAAGTTCATCTTGATTTTAGCGATACAATGGTCTGCTGTCAATAGCCTCTTCCTTAGTAACCCGTGGAGAACGCTTCGGACACTCGGTCGGTGAACTAATTGTAGAACAAACAGGTGTGACTGCAAGAAGACAAAAATGTTAGATAAATTTAAGAGAAAATTTTCAGTGTTCAATTCAACACCCGAACAGGTAGATATTTAATGGGAAAATGAACTTATTATTAAACGTGAATTACTTACACAACAGCAAGCTGATACTGTGATCTGAATTGTATTTCTGCCTGGCTGGCAAACGTCTTTCAGGTACAATGGTTTGTGGGATGTTTTGTTTTCGCCTCTATCTATGACTAGCGGCGTTGCATTGACAGACACTTGAACGCTTGCAGGCCAATTTGTGTTCATTTGCCGGTCTTCATGGTGGAAGCATTTGAGCTGTAATTCCAGGTCCGACCTGTAAAGAAAAAAAATTGTTAGTGCCGCCTATTTATGAGTAAAACTATTAAAGGTAAAGATTAAAAAAAAACTAATACTACTTACCGCCACAGCAATGTTGAATGGACTGTTTGTTTTAGTTGGAATACGTGGTTACTAACTGCTAAATTATGTTCTAATCTAAATGGTGGCAATATAATGCCATCTCTTACGGGGAATGTTAACCGGAGCTCATCATCTGAAAAGACAGAAAAGTCGATTAAAGATACAGTCGCGAAAAAATGTGAATGACGTTATAGATTTAACGGCAAATTCAAATCATTATTACTTTTAGACATGAATACTTACTTTGCAAGCCCATCTGCGGCTTGAGTTCGTTAAAGTGGGGTTTTACATCGGCGTTGGGGCTGATGTACGGTGGCATGCTGCTTGCGGGCGTCAAAGGAGGAGTTGGGTTGCCTGGCACTGGACTGTGTTGGTAACTCATATTAGTACGCATAGCCACTTCCTGTGCAAACTGTCCGCTATACTGCCCCCCATATTGCCCATTGCCACCAGGATGTTGAGGAAATTGCGCTGGAACGCCACCGTTGAAATACTGCCCCTGGTTTGAGTAAGGAGGCGTAGATTGTCTCATGTTCCCTCTCATCGTGCCACCAAAATTGCCTGATGGCCCCAAAGGCTGTTGAGGAGGATATTGTCCTTGAAAACCCGGTCGACCACCATAAGTGGCAGGATATTGTCCTGGACCGAAGCCGGGTTGACCGCCCATGTATTGCGTTTTTCTCCCCATCATCATTGTATTTTGGGTTGGGTAAGGCGTATGCCGTTGCCGGTACCCTGGCGCCATTTTCGCCGATTGGGTCATTTGACTGGGCCCCATTTGGGATGGCATCATATTGGCATGCATGCCCATATTAGCCATCTGCGTCATTGGGTTCATGCCGTTCATACCAGCATTACCCATTTGACCAATACCGGTCATTCCATTCATTCCTCCGTTTCCTCCCATACCCATGCTTGTCATGGCGGGGTTATGACTGCGCTGTCCGTAGCCATTCATCGCCCCATATTGGGGATTACCCATAGTCATGTTGTTTTGCATCTGTAACAGAAAAGTAGATCATCAGCATGATGAATATGCTACACGTTGTTTTATTTTCTGGATTTAATATCCTATTCCATATCTCTTTGTTCAATGAAAGAATATAAATTTCTACCTGAGAAAAAGTCTGCGAGTCCTGCATCGCGGCCGTTGTGGCCGCGGCGACCATTGCGGCGGTGGCGCCGAACTGCGCGTTCTCGCCCCCGCCGCTCATCGCGCCCGAACCGCCGGCGCTCCCATAGCCGCTGCTCAACAAAAGAATACATGGAATTTTAGGGTATGGCATTACTAAAAAAATTATACATGTAAGAAGATTAATATTGCCTATATAAATATGACATCCAAGTAGACCTTGTAAAGACCCTAAAAACGAGACTACCTGTTAGGCTAGGCTTAGATTTATTTAAGCGCTGTAAAAATAACCCTTAGTCCTTCATTAAATTGATAATATCCTTTATTTAACTATAGTTTACTACTTTATTCTAGAGGTGAGAACTTTTAAAACGTACGCTGTGATGAAAACGTGTGTTTGCGTTTGACTTGTCGTTACACGGTTTTACAAGACCAATGTTGTTAGAATTTTCAACGGTTACTTGATTTCACAGTAAATCGTCGGTAGACGTAGTTATAGAACAAGTAGGTTTTGAATGTGAAATCGGTCCAGTTAATTTTATTTCACTCACGATATGAGCAGTTTCTATTGCAAGCGGCCTTGCAGAGTCGAACATTCCACACGTTAACGCTTCGATTATTAATAAACTCAGACTCAATATTCGACCCAAATTCTATCAGCGCAAGATCTGTTTTTACCATGTACCGAGATTTTATTATTTTACTAACAATGAGAAAAAAAATCAATATAGACGTATAGTGACGCACTGTTACCCCTGTTTTTCTCTCGGGATGTGTTTGATTTTTTGTATGGCGCTGCGGAGTGGGAGCTCGATTCATGTGAACGGCTTTTGGGGCGAATTCCCGGGCTGTCCCGGAGCCCTTTCTAATAATTCCCATTCGACAAATGCACGACAAACACTCGCACGGGCTATCCATTGTTATATCGCGTCTCTGTAGTAGTGCAACATTATTGAGTTATTGTGTAGTTATGTATATGATATGAAATGATTTTAATGAATGCAAATTTGGCTGCATCACAACAAACATTAGGTATAGTAATCATGATTATAGCACATACTACTTAATAGTTTAAACCATTCGTTCACGATTCTCTTTTTTGAGATGCGATGTGCAAATCAATTAAAAGATAATTTTAGTTTGATTTAAATAGTTCAGGCCTACTCAAACAACAATAATATTTTTAAACACTTATTAGCGTCAACTATCTGTTGGTACTCAAAATAAGTCAATAACGCTCTAAAGTTACATGGCCTCTATTCATCGCCTCCGCAGATGATTTACAAGGGTCCTTCCTTAGGTAAACTCAGCTCGACCTGCACTTCTTTTATATTTTTGTCTGTTCCCTTTTTTCTTCTTTGCCGGTCGAATGTGTAGCTGACAAAAAACGTTGTGTGTTCTCTATTCTGGCGCACTTTTTGTTAAAGTGGTACCACATCCGTATATAATCACTTATGGCCTGTTCAAAATATTTGGGATCTTAATGCGACCGTTCAACGTAGGCAGGCATTCTTTTGCGACAATTCTCGGAACATAGGCTTTGAAGTAATATCTATGAATACTGAAGTTTTTACGTCTGCTTTTATTAATAGAGCTAATGCTTAAGCGTTTTTTTACTTAATTTATTACAATATTTAGCTTAAAATATAATTATATTAATGAGTGTGTCGCTATTTCGAGAAGCTGGAAGGTGTTTGGCATAGTATTGAGAGATGTGCGAGTAACGCGTTGGTATTTTGATACATTGGCTGCAGTTAATTTTAGATAGCTGCGCAGACGTGTTGGATTCCTTGTTTAATTGGCAGAGGAGATAATCGTGCACTGAATCAAAGGGTAATTTCTGTGAACAATCGTGCATGTCATTTTCTTTGAGCGTCATCATGAGAAAGATTTTTTCTTCGAGTTGGTTTGACCCAAATAGTTGGTTTTATCTTAACTTTATTATTTATAACAATTTCTGATTTTTTAAAACATTTGAAGTGTTAAATAAGGAATGAATTGGGAGTCTTATTTAGATTACTATCGGGGCAGCGTGAAGCCATGGCGAGTTTCACCCCTGTGTTTGGACGACAGTTGGTCACCCCCATTTAAATGCCACTTCACATTGTGGCTTGTGCGCACAATGCTGTAACTCTAGTAGCGTTAACGTTTTTATTAACAAATCGTTGGTTGTAATAAAGACTAATTAACCTCAAAGTAATTTTAATTTTAACAAGTTTTGTTGATACACCTAGTTTCCTATTTGCGTCACAAGTAATTTGGTTTCTTTGTGATGAGGGAGTTATAACAATAAAGTAGGTACATATCAATTAATCGATTTCGTATAAAAAGACAAACATTAAGCATGAAATAAATGATCGTTATTGATTAATTACTTATTCAGATTTATATCTAATTCACATCAATTGACGGTGGGTTCGGGACAGAATGAATCACGCTTCGAGGAGCGGATTCCGGGGGTTATGAACGGAGGCGAGCGTTCCGGGGTAAATACGGCACAATGAACGGGGAAGGGTCGGAGCAGCTCGCTTAGGGTAAGTGGGCCCAGTCACGTCAATATGGCCTTTCATTATTATGCTCCTTGTCCTGATAATAAATAATTTGTTTTGCCGCCAATAAAATTTTATCTATAATTGTTTGTATCATTTTGTTTTACTTTCTAGCACGGAATAGATAAAAGTTAGTATTACTATTTTATTTAGAAACTTCTACTTTTGAGTAAATAATTATTATAAAATAAAAAATATAATTAAGTAGGTAGGTAACTAAACTAATGTTTACTAAAACATCTCTTCAATTTAATTTTGGAATTAGTGTTAAATTTTTTATTTATGAAAAAAATTCTCACGATAATTCATTGATAGTAATAAATATCTATGGAGTTAGACAGTTTACATTTGTTTTACTACTTTTAAAACATCGCACCTAAACGAAGGGCCGCTCAAATATTTTACGCGGCAAACGTTCGTACTGTAGCCACCCTTGAAATGAGGTAGACTTCCTGGTGTTCTGTTCACACAATCTCGTTGCCGGTCCCGCGTTTTATTATTATTTACTTATTGGTTTTGTATAGAGGCAGGCAGCCATCAACAATATGTCGTTTGTAAAGGTGACTACAAAACAAAGCCGTTGAGCGCTCGACTTAGCACCTGCTCATTTTTTTTATTTAAAATAATTTAAAGTCCATAATAATTATCTATAAGAACGCTTAGTTAAATAGTATTTTTTTATTTTATTGTTTCGAATCTTAAAATACTGCGAGTTAAATGTTTCTAGTTTATTAAATTTGTTTGTTTGTATTTAGTGTAAGCATTAAAGTGCAGTCACCGCATGCATTCCCACCGTTTGGTTGTGTGAGTGAGCAGTAACAATGTGTGCGTGAATACATGGTGGTGTGAGTGTCGAGACATGCGTGTGTGTGGGTGTTGAGTGCCCTGCAGCGTTTGTGCGTGTGAATGGAAGAGGACATTTCATTTATAATAGCAGCGATGCGCGGTCGACAATGTCACACTTACTTGTTTGCTTTTAAATCACCCTCCGTTTATGGATTGCGCGAGTATGAATTAACTCTACGTTTATTAGAGGAGCTTCAAAACTATAGTTAATATTTAAGTTAAAAAGTTATATTTATACGAGTTTTCCCTTTAGTTTTGTTTAGTTATTTATAATTATACAGTTTACGTAGACTTTATTTTTGACGTTATTGCTTGTTAACATCGATAAGGCGGTCCAGGTAAACTTAGTCACGTTTCAGCGTTCTGTTGAAATGTAAACAAACTTGTTCCGGATAAGATAAAAACACTACAAACCTACCTACATCGAGTATCTATGCTGTAGTACGTTACCGATAATGAGTAAGACCATACAATTTTTGAAGTTCCGTATTGATTAAACAATTCATAAAATTCTTATGAAAAAAATAATGAATAATATTTATATAAGAATAAAATAATCTTCAAAATTCTTTTGTAAAATATAAAATGTTGACAGTAAAGTATCTAAATTAAAAAAAAACATGTGTCTATGTGTTTAAATTATTGTTTGAGACGAGATTAAACCATTGTGAGAATTTAGGATTCGTGGTCTTAAGAATTTCTCTTAAACAATTGCTCATAAAATAAAAAAAAAACTTTTATAAAGCAAAATGTAGTATAAATTTTATTTTGTTTGCATTTTTTTATAATCGAATAACTGCCAAAGTATTTATTTTAGAAAATAATTATTATTGTAGTTAGACTTACCTAGGGTTAGTAACTCGGTATCCAATTGTTCCTTGTTGAGGGTTGTGCTTGCCAGTATCAGGAGCCTGAGCCCCCGGATAACTGCTGTAGGATCCCGCGTAGCCGGCCGTGCTAGTAGCGTGCGCCGTCCTGACGTTTCCAAATCACCCCCTGCAACACCATCACGTTGTAGCCAACCAAACTCGACGCGTACAAAGTCCACTCCACTCTCAAAGCATAATAATCCAACGTACACGATCGACACCTCTCTAATCGCCAATCAAAACTAGAAAATTCCTTCGTTCAATTTTCTCCATTATTGTATTCGTGTCAGCTGCGAGCGTAACATATTTTCTGTTATCAAGTGGCGCGTAAACTACGCTCGGGCGTTATTGAACGTCAACAATCATCGAAACGTTCATCGTGCGATTTTTTTGTTAAATTATTTAAATTTCTCCCAAATTTATAGCGTCACTGATAGTGACTGTATTTCACAAATTATTCAACACTTTCTCAAAGCCTACAAGTATTATATTTAATGTTCACTCTTTTCACCGTAATTTTAATTTAAATCACTTTCTCGTTCATTCCGTGATAGAAAAGTATTTCATCAATTCATTTCTTTTTTTTCTCGACGATGAACGCTTCGAAGATCTGTCACTCGATCAGCTGAGGCGAAATCCAACGTGCGCGCTTGGTGCTTTGTGGCAGGTGGTAGAAATAGGCTTGTTGTAATCTGGACTAGTAACAAAAATATAATATTGTTTTTGTATTCATAATTTATTTTTATCACTGAGATAAATTAAAATATTTACTTTGAAAATCTTTGGAAAATTTGTTAATTCGTCCAAACTAAAACAAACACCGCAAAAACTTTTGTATAATCACTTTATTTACTTTATATTATTCACTTCATGCAGCTCGAATCCTCCGAAAATCACTTTAGCGGGTTTCCTTTAAAATCCAATATTATCACTGATTTGCAATCCTTTTTGATGGTTCACTGCACTGTTTAAGTTTTGGAAAAAATTCCAAAATGTCACTTTTCACAATCCATAAAACATCCAAATCCAGGGAAGATTGTTGTCTATTTGTCACTGTGCTCCAATATTTGATGAGTAATGAGGTAATGACTTATCGTCCACTCACGACTTTGAAAATCACCGAAACATCATAGACGTGTTGCACGAGTGTCGACACCGACGTCACTGACGGCGAACGACCGCGCGTTCGACCGTCAAAGGTAACACTGGATGATGGCGATAGCAAGCCGGCGACGGTGAGTGAGAGGTTGCGGCGCGGGGCGCTCCCACCCCGCGGGCGATGTTGCCAGCTCGCCGCGATAAAGTGGCGCACCCCCGCTTCCCCCGCTCGTACGACATCGTCTCGACACTCGGCTATCGGCCGCGCCAGGGGCCTGACAGCTTTAGTTCCATTTTCTTAGTTTTGGCGCTAGCGTCGCTGATATTTTTTTATAGCCTGTGGTTAACCTGTCGCCATGTTGTCACTATTGATAGTTTGACAGACAATTCAAAGTTTCAAACTGCCATCCATCATTGTGTTGTTTTGATTTGAGTTTAGTGCCGGTTATCTTGTTTTCTCCTCCCAGTCTTGGTTGAGTTGAGGTTCTTGAGAAGCCATTCTCCTCGGATTAACAGTACAATATTGACTATTTACTCAAGTGTTGCATACCCATCATGGCATTTTTTAAGTGTTGTGTTGGTGATTGTGATTCTTCAAGTAATACTCACAAACTCTTTTGCATGCCCGTAAATGATAATTTACGTAACTTGTGGATGTCGTTCCTGGTTCCGACAAATCCTGGTTTACTTGGACTGAATAAAAGTCAATTATTGAAGAAACGCGTTTGTGTGAAGCATTTTGATAAAACTCAATTTGATGAAGCTGGTGTCAGAATCCGTTATTCTTATCCTTGTTTAATCACACAAATGGAGATTCTACATGGTGTTCCACTTACTACGGAGGGTAAGTGTACATTAAAAAAATTTGCTAACTATGATGTGTAGTATTTTTTATTTCTTACTTGATCTTTTAGTAAACAATCTTCACACAAACACCTATATAATGAAATAATCATTCATCAGCACCTTTTAGCAATATCATGTCAGCGCTGCAAGGTACTCAGCTTTAGTTATGACGTTATGCGAGGTACTCGGCTGCTGGGTACCTGTCAAAGTTATTAACCCAGTCCTTGTCTAATAATTATTGTCTTTCATTGTTGCTGTATATTATAATATATTATATATATATATTATAATAATAATATATTATTTAAAAATAACATACTTATTTTTTAAAAATTAGTAAACATACAATACAAAATTTGTTGTTGGTTTGAAGCTACTTTGGCATAGTGCTTTAAAAATGCAGGGTTATTTGTACTTTATTAGACCATCCTAAATATGCTTATAAAACTTTTTCTTATAAGATTATCATGTACAGTTAACATCAAAATTATTGGACACTTACAAACCTACTGACATTATATAGAAGATAACAACCATATAAATTTCTTTTGTGTATATAGTTATGGTGTATTTAATTATTTCAGAGTACACAGTTGAAAATGAGCATAACTACTGTCAAGTCCAAATGCAGGATGATATTCATACACAAGAAGATATATCCACTAATGAGAGCATGCAAGGTATGTGTGTTTCATTAATGTTACAAGCTACAGTAATTCTTTTCATTCAGATAGTTTTCAGCTCTAGAGCCTTACTGATGAACGAAGTGGCAGCTGGACATAGTCTTGTTTCTTTAATCTTTAAATTCATTAAAATTATTTAATAGGGATGACAACTAACTTTTTTTCTTCGTGTATCAGGTAGATTATCAATAAGTATTGGTCACATATTTTTTCTTTTTTCACATAATCAAAACATTACAGATATTTATTCATTTGAAAAGTAGCATGATGTCACGTTTTGGTACAATTTTTACTTAAAAGTGACGTCACAAACTTTGACCCGCTTTATCTTTGTAATTTTTTGGTTGATTGATCAAATAAAAAATATGTGTCCATGATCTTGTAACAGACGGACTAAATAGAATTTCGTTTACTTTACCCCGTCGTCACCCCTATTGAGTGGATTCATAATAGTTGTTATCAACTTATCTGTTAGATATTTTATCCATTTTGATATTATAGGATTGATATATTGACAAGAACAACTTCGTACTTAGCATAAGGTACTGTTATATACTTTTTAGGGTGTTCTTGATATTTATAACATGTATATATTCCAGGTGATGGTCCTTTCAATGAACATCAATATTCATTACCATCGACTAGCCAAACAATATCTATTGCAAAAAATAAAGGTTAGTATAATAATAGTTATTCTTTGGTGTAGGTTAGCAATTTCAGACATACCAAGGTATTTTTATAGTAGGTACATAAAATAAAGGTTAGATTTTCTTTACATATCTAATCTTAATTTTACATTTAATCACGGATGATATATCTTCTCCAGATGATCAATCTTCACTCATTGCAACAAGCCAAACACCACAGATTTCAGAATTGCTGGATAGTGGTTAGTAACATACATTTTATATTCGTAAGTAATGAGATAAACTATACACTTGCCTTTTGATATATTAATGTTTTTTCTAAGAATACAATACTTACAAATGTTTTAGGTGATGCAGCGGGTGTTAATAAGGGTGATGAAAATAATGCTATGATGCAGTTGAAATCTAACAATACTCCTTGCATCAAGATGGGTAAAAAAACCACCCAATTATAAACTATTATTGCAATCGGTTTTATCAAGGGTAATAGGTAACTAATAATTTTATTAATTTCAGGCAAATCTATGAAACAAGTTGCCACCAAATCTCATAGATATATTAAAAAGTGCACCAAAATTGCAAAAGAGAGTCAAGGTGACACAAGTAGCCAAAGGTTGCAAAATGCACATAATCTGTCAGAAAGTTACTTAAAGGATTTTGATAAACTTAATAAGAGAGCTAAAGAATTCCTGATAATGCAATTACGGCTTGTCAGAAAAAATGTAATGGCAAGAAGGTTCTCCTTGAACGATAAATTATTTGCCCTTACTTTATGGAAGCAAAGTCCAAAGGGGTACAGATTGTTGGAGAAAATGTTTGCCTTGCCCAATAAACGAACACTTGAAAGACTTTCAGGAAAAATTGATTTTGAATGTGGTATAAATAAAAACATTATTGATCACATCAAGGAGACGATCAAAGGATGGGACATAAAGAAAAAATTATGTTCATTAGTGTTTGATGAAGTTGCCCTCACTCCACGCCTTATATATAATGAAAATAAAGATAAAATAAATGGATTTGTCGAGATAGGAGAAGAACGCAAGCAGAAATTTGCAGATCATGCATTGGTATTTATGGTCCGAGGAATATGCTCTTCATGGAGACAAAGCATTGCTTATTATTTCTGTGCTGGAACAGTTTCTGCAGCCGAGCTACAAAACATTCTCAAGCAAATTATTCCCCGCATTTTTGAGACTGGTCTGGTCTTACTTGCATTGGTATGTGATCAGGGATCAACATTTCGCTCATGTTTTAAATCGATGAAGAAAGATACTGCCCAATTCCGTAGTACTCAAGGAAGACATCAAGGTATGATCTATAAGTGCTGTACCCTTACCACAAACCATTATTGAATTCGAATAGTTTTCGAGTCCATGTCATTGTCAAATTTTGTATGAAAACTTGAACAGCAGCACCATAATGTACGTAACGAGACATAAAAATCAGTATACATTTGACACTGACATTTCGTACTCGCAAACGATACGAATTCACTATTGGTTTGTGCTACAGATATTATATTCCTACAAATAATGGCCCATCATGCACCCACCCATGTAATGATGGATCATCACATAGTATTTTCAGCTTCCCTCGGAAACCAATTTGTTCAATTGGGTTAAAAGTAGATGGTCTGTAGCACTCCAGGGATCTATGATAAAAACGCTTTCAACGGGATTAAAAGTCCTTTTGAAAAGATTTATACATATAGAATAAAAACATAAAAGATAAACCTTCACTTAACTACACAAATATTTTATTTCACATTTATAATATTGCAGAATGAAGACAAATAGCACTGAATATAATTATATTTTTTTGTCTATAAGTATATAATTGTTTTTTTAATTGTTTCAGATAATACAATCCATGTGGCTGGATGTGATCTTTTCATATTTCATGATCCACCACATTTACTAAAAGGGATAAGAAATAACTTTATAGAAAAGGATATTTTATTTCAAGATAAACGAGCAACTTGGAGAGATATCATTTATGTATATGACCTGGATAACAAATCAGGGCACACAAGAGCTTTACCCAAAATAACAGCAGAACACGTGGATCCAAAAAAAATAAGAAAAATGAAGGTCAAAACTGCTGCGCAAGTGTTGAGTGCTCGTACTGCAGCAATGCTGAATTATACACATGCTGTTCGTAAGTATTAATTTATCTATACTTATTTGTACCTACCAGAAAAGTTTTATTAATTACTTAAACTATTTATTGCTATAAGTTTAAAAATAAAGAATATTTTGAATAAATAATTTATCATAGTTTTTAATTGTTATTATTTCAGATAAGCAGCTCAACAACTGCACAGAGACCATGGACACCACAGCAGCAGTAGTACTGTTTTTTGACGAGTTATTTGACAGCATTAATGGATCACCGGGAGGAATAAAGGGAAAACTGAGATGTGCTGTGAAACAGAATTCTGCACATCAAGATTTTTGGAGAAATGCCATCCTGGAACTAAAGAAAATGAAATTTATTGACATTAAAAGTAAATTCTCTGTACAAGCTGGGAAGCCTAGACATGTGCGTGTTCCATCATTAGATGGGTGGATTATGACTTTGGAGAGCTTTTTAGGATTATCCAAATTATTATTTTCAAAATTTGGGGTTGAATATTTCTACCCCAGATACGTAAATCAAGATCCTTTGGAAAATTTCTTTGGTCGTATTAGAGCTATTAATTATAGGAATACAAATCCTGATGTAAATAGTTTTGTGTACGCTTTTAAATCGTTAGTTTTATCGAATATATTAAGCCCGCACTCAAAATTTTCTAATTGTGAAGAAGACAATGGCGATACACTGATCGATTTGAATTATTTGTTTACGACGTCCACACACGAGTCGCAAGATGACCAAAATATCTCGCCAAACCTTTCGATTGCGCCATTGTCTT